CCTCACTTATCTGTAATTTGCAGTTATGGAGTCAGACCCTCCAATTCCCTGGGAATGCCCCACTATTGACCCCTGGATGAGGAGTGCTGCTTGGGTCCCTTCCAGGGAAATTGCTCCCCTCGTGGGACTGAGATTCCAACCAGTTTCACTGGGCCAAGGCCTCGGAGCAGCTCCAAGCCTGTGTCTCAAATGGGAAAGGTTGGCACACACAAAAAAAAAAAAAAAAATAGAGGAACACATACCCAATTCTGTAATATTGCACATTAAAAAAGCCTGCCTTGCAGGTCCTGCTGATATTTCTGCTCCCAGTGTGTGAATTATTAATATTTAGTATCTGTGACTCACTGATATTTACTTTAGGAGGTATTTTTATAAAGTTTGAGTGTTGTCTCGATGTAGGAGCTAACGGAGGCTCCTGTTGTTAATGCCCAGGGAGCCCTCCCTGAACAAACTTTTCTGGTCACTGTTTAAACTGGGCTGCTGGGCTCTTTTGAGGCCCTGACCCTCCGAGGCTGAGCACTGAGGCTGGCAGGGATGGCCCTGCTGGGACACAGCTAATTTTAAACCTGGATCCCACGGCAAAGGGAAAAAACCCTCGATTTTACTGGCAGAACTGTCACAGTCGAGCGTTGTGCTCAGATTACGGGAAGAGGCTGCGAGGGAGCGCGCGCTCAATCCCTTTTTTGGGTACTTGGCATTAATTTTATCTGAAGTCATGGATTATATAAGAGAAGAGCAGAGACTTCACACAAGTCTCTCCTGCGTCAGTGCAGGACACCCAGGGCGGGGGGACCCTCCTCTCCAGGCCCCCCCGTTGTGCCACACAAGGGGACAGGGCTTGGCCACTTTTCCAGTAATTCTCCTTAAAAGTGGATCACAAGCATTTTCTGGAACTGCATCCAGAGCTGTCCACAACATTGACTAGAGTTGGCTCCTGAAGTCCTTTCTTGGTCTAGACGCAAAGCTTTGGAGCTCACAAAAACTTGGGTGTTTTCGTAGTTTTATGGCTCTCGTTAAAATGGCCAGTGTCCAAACAAGTCCCCATTTAGTGCTTTGGATTTGCAGAGATTGTTGTTTGCTGATAATGAAGCTGTTCCCAAGGAGAGCACTGTCCAGCACTGGGCTGCTCAGCTGCCTGCATCTGTTTTGCTGTAAGGTTTTGGGACAGCTTGACTTCCCTGGTGCCTTTGGAAAGGCACACACAGCCTGCTGAGCTGGCCAGCTGCCCTCAGACGCCTGAGATGGTTTCATGACTCTGCAGATGAGAAAATTTCCATGGTCTCCCTCTCCTCACCCAAAGCCTGCCCTCAGATGGAGCTGCACGCCTGGCACAGGGAGGAGATGCCTGTGCCCAGTCTGGCTCAGTGACACTCCCAGGGGATGCCCTAAATCACCCCTTCCTTGCCAGCATTTCTGAAAGGTTATCCCCACTATTTTATCCCAGACCCAACAGCCACGGGTCCGTCTGCAGCTGTACCTCAGAATTCACCTGTCTGCCAAAAGACTTAAAAAAAAAAAAAAACAAACCCACAAAAACCAACCAAAAATACCTGAATAACAAAGACTTAAAAGTACAATGACTATTTTTTATTGTGACTGCCATGACACTGCACACCTTTATCTAAGCTTCTTCTAGGTCATCTCTATCTGTGTCACCCATGGGAAAATAATAGTTCCTTGCTCATGCACCATCCTGGGCCAAACAGAGAATAGCCCATCCCACATGATGGAATGTTTCCTTTAACTTGGAAAACTATAGGGAAAAGCACCTGGCAGGACCCCCAAGACATTTTCTAGTCCATCCTCCACTCAAAGCAGGATCTCATTTTAGGAGCTGCCATCCAGAATAATCTGGAATGATGTCCTGGAAACACCACACAGATAATCTGCTCCAGCCAGAGCCTTCACCAATGGTCTCAGTGTTTCCTACTACACTTTAAGCCCGTCCCTTCCCAGTGGGGCCCCTATGAGCATGAAGAACCCTCTCTCCCTTTACTGTACCTTTACACTCCACAGGTGTCCTCTTCCTGACCTTTTCCATCCTCAGAGAGCTCTCCTGCTTTCTCAGGAGTTGTTTTAACTCTCAAGTTCTCTTTCCTTCCTCCTGGACTTCCCACAGCAGGATGAATATTTTCCAGGCAGTAACAGGACAAGCCCAGACAATGTCATATTGGACGAGAGACTCGAACAGAGGAAGAAAAGCTGGAAAGGTTTCTCACCTGCATTGCTGATCCTTTCACACCTGATATTACTTTTATCTTCTTGGCCATAATGTGATGGTTTTGACTCTTTATCTCAGCTGGGCTGATTTGTTCCTTGTTCTTGGTTGGTCTCTATCTTTTATTGTTCGTTGTACTCTTCCCTTCCAAGTGTCATCTGAGTTTTCAGCCTGTTTTTTCCAGCACAGGTACCGATGCAGTTTTGGAGCTCCCTGCATTGAGATAAATAATATTTTCATTACAAACACATCAAGTAAGATGGTATCAATACCCCTACCCCCTACAGTTAATCTCTATTTGGTTTATCTCTTTTTTTCAAATCTACAAAACCTGCTCAGCTGGTGAAGGGGGAAATTAGGCTGCTTTTGAGATTTCTTTCTGACAAACTTGTCCTCTAGCCCCTGGGTTTAGTTCATAGGTGGCATTTTCTCAGCTTCCACATGTGCAAAAGACAGATGTGCAGAAACAAGCCTTGAGGCAGCTACTAAATAAAAACTTCAGCTACCAGCCAAGCACTCCTCAGGGCAGTTGTATGTGTTGGCAGGTCCCCCCTCGGGGTCACAGTCACCCACAGTCCTAAACCACAGGAGCCCAGACCTGACAGAATCAGCCCTTGGAGGACATCCCAAAGCTCTGGATTTATTTTGCTCCCTCCTTCTTCCAGCTCTCATGTTCCACCTGCGCCTCCTGACTTTTCACCCGCTATAAAAATTCTTGTATTCCTTTTGACACTGAATCTCCCTGCCATGTGCTGGACATGTGGGACACTGTGGACAGCCCTCCCCTGGGTGAGGAGCAGAGGGAGCAGCATAAGGCAGACCTTGTCTGTTGACTTAACTCCCTAACCCAATTTTAACCACTGTCAACAAGATAGAAGGGTGGTTTCTGTTTACACTGAGGCTTCTTTACGCTGCTCTCCCCACACCCTAAAGTGGCATAAATGCCTCCTAAGTGCCTCAAAGTAGGTCCTTAGTGTAAATGAGAGCCAACCCCATCGTTTGCAAAATGGCTTCGAAAACATTGGGGCGCATCCTATAAATGACTGTGGGTTTTTGGAAGGACACCCACCCCAAGGTATGCCCGTGCTATACATAGGCTCTGATGAGCTCAGCACGGGCTGAGGAGCAGCCAGCAGAAGGCAAAACAACCAGCAACAAGATATTTGTGCCCGAAGCAGCAAGCAGAGAGAGCCCAGCTGCTTGTTGATCCCCAAGGATTCCCAGCAATGTGGGAATATCAGATCTGCCACCCTTGCTCAGCTCCATGTGGGTTTCTCCTTTCTTTCCCCTCAACTTTCCATCGACCTGCCAATCTCTATGTCTTCTCAGCTCAAACAGAATCTGGATCCCACCCCAGCTGGGAAAAAAATTATTATTATTTCTCCAGGCTGTGTGTTTCCCCCTGAGCTTTCCTTTACCTGGTTTTCATCCCTGTTGTACAGGAAGCAGGCACAGCTTTGTTTGCCACACAGCACTTGTGATAGCACCAATTTCTGGTGGACAAACAGAGGACAAAGCCCAGGGCTCGAGCAGGAGGAGACAAAACCAGAGACTGTGTCAAAGGATGGCAAACTGACCCAAAGGATGGGTTAGGTTCAGCCCTAAATTTAGACTGTTATGCTGTTTTGCTCTCTAGGCCAACCAGGACCTAAATTTTACCACAGAACTCACAGAATCATAGAATGGATTTAGTTGGTAGGGACCTTAAATATCACCATGTTCCAAATCACAGAGTGGGGCATTTTGTAGCACCAACAGATAAGATATCAAACAACTATTGCCATTAATGGGATGCTCTAGGCAGCCTCACAATAACCAATAGCCTGAATTCCCCTCTCTGCTTACCTTTAAGCTCTGCTTAGGAAAATCCTCCCAAATATATTCAGCAGAGATATTTTTGCAGCAGTAAGAATGGGGGAAGGAAAGCACAAAGTAAATTCAAATGGGCAGTTTGGAACTGCAGAGAATGCAGGAGTCATGAAGTTCCCCTTTGACAGAAATCACTGGCAGGGCAATAATGAGGTTATCTCATCAGTCCTAGGCTGGGACTATTAACAGGGAAATATTGTTCAACCAGAACTGCATCAGCCCAGCCCTGAAGTAAAGCAAACATCTCTGGATTTAACATTAATCCTCCTGTATAGGTAATGAAAAACACAAATTTCATGGCCTGGTCAATCAGGACCTCATCCCATGGCCCAGCCTACATTTTTGGTCAAAACCCATCTGGTGCTCATTGTCTGGAGGATGAGTTATGAACTTCCCTGCGTTGCTTCTTTAACCAAATGGGGTTGGATTACCAGGAAAAATCTTGTTTTGATTTGTGGTGCTGTCAGCAAGGATGAGCCTGGAGAAAATTTCAAAGGGAATTACAAAATCTGAATACTTTTCCTTTCAAAAAATGAGGGCACAATTCACACCAGCCTGCTCAGGTGGGGAGGAGTTCACCTCACTTGTATTTTGCAGCACTAAATCATTAAACACTATTTCCAACCCATTAATCTAATTCAGCCCTTATGCTGCAGGCATTCAAAGGAAGGCAGTGATTTTCCCTTACTCTCAGTATGTTTCACTAAGGATACCTCTTATTTTTGATGGGATAAAGACTGAGTTTTAATGCCTGGGTACCGGGCAGTTTGTTTGTGGAATAGGCTTTGCACATCCCTATTTCTTTTGGAATCTTCAGGGAATGCTCTAGTCCCCAGGATTAATCCCAAATAGCTCTTCTACCAGCTCTTCAACCCAACCCAACTCTGGCTGAGCACTAAAGACAAGGGATGCATTCATTCCAGGAAGGTTTTATTTCACAAATAATTCAGAAATCAAAAGAAAATTGAAGGGTAGGGAGGAAAAGATATTTTACAATTCTGTATTTAGACAACAAAAAAAAAAATCTAGTTTATAAACAACCACGGCCCCTTGGAAAACATGCAAAGGCACACAAAAATTTACAAGTAACTTTTATACATAGGAAGTAAAATACACCATTTTTCATAGAAAAAAAAAAAAAAAAAAAAAAAAAGAAAAGCAACTCTATGAACTGGCCCTAAATATTTAGACTGCACAAGTGATGAACTGGAGCCTCCTCCACCAGCTGTTGGCTGGAAGTCTTTAAAAGAAGGAATGAGTGGAGCCCAGGCCCCACCAGCACAGGCTCTGGATGTCACCCTGGTTGTGTTTCCTGGAGATTGGGCTGAGCCAGGTGTTCTGCAAGGACCTTGCCATTGCTTCCAAAGCCCAAATTCCTGGGAAAGAACAACCAGGCAGCACCAGCTTTGGCTACACCTGGATGCTTCAGGTGCCTACAGATGTGCCGAGCTGGGGCTGAGGAGGAGAGGGCCTGGTGAGATACAGACGTGATGCATCTTTAAGCTGCACTGAAATATAGAAGGCTGAGAAATGTCTTGGTATCAGAAATAAAACCTGTCAATATTTGGCTAAAAACTGGTACTGTCCCACCTATTCATGAATAGCTAGCACACATGATTGCAAGTCATTGATAGGTCATGACTGCCTTGATCACCCCTAATTCTGGGGGAGGTATGTTTAAATTAATAGCACCCAGGACCTCGAAAAATATTTGTGTAGTAAAGTCACAATTTCTCTTTTGTACAACAAATACAAAAATAAACAGATACAGACTTAAATTAACATCGGTTTCTAAAAATCCAAACCAGTTGGCTGAAGATAAAAATACGCAATTGTAACTTGAATTAAGCATTTTAGGATATTTCTGTTGGAATAATAACCCTTCCCCTGTCCCCTTTCTGTCACCTAGGTACATCCCCAGCTGTTTGGATTTTTATGTGCTCTCTGTAATCCCCTGGGTTTTACTCCAAGAGCCCTCACAGTCCTTTCCATCACCTTCCATCCATAATTTTCATGGATCCTACACTAGAGTCGAGGTGTTTTGTGTGCTCCTGCAGTCCCCATGAACCTGACTGCACCTCTCACTCTCTCCAATTCCATTCCCAGCCCACCTGGCCCAGGATGTCCCAGACTTTTGCTGCAGAGTTGGAAGAGCTCAAACCAGACCATGCACACTTCACAGAGGGCAGAAACAGGGAAGCTTTTCCTCACTGCCAACATCTCAAAAGCTCGCATCCAGCAGCTTTTCTAGGATATGTTCCAGCTGTTTTTAACATCAATTTATTGAGCAAGAAAAAGAAATGGTTCGGTTTTCCTGTCTAAAGTCAATACTGTACACCTTGGACGACAATACTACATAAACAAAGATGACACGGAGGGTCACTTCTCTCTATCCGCCCCAAAAGCAGCTTTTCTGTGCAGTGTTTTTGGAGACAGTGAAAAGCAGCTCCAATTTCAGGTTTTGAAAAAGGTTTCTCTCCAAATTCAGATTTTATGGAGAAATAAATCCCAGTGGTGGGACAAACTGAGCGATAAATGTCATTTAAATGTCATTTCCTTGCTGATTTCATGGCGTTTACAGAATTAAAGAAGCATTTAATCATATAAATGCTTTTGGTCTGTGTTTTCAAAGAGCTTGATGAGATGACTCTTATATCTGTCTAGATTAAACCCAACATGTTCTGGGCATAAGAGCAGCTGTGAAACATCTGCCAGACAGAGGGAAATATTTTCCCATTTGTTATCCAGCATTACAATTCTGTTATTGAATGGAAGGACTGTGCATTTACAAAAACTGAAGAACCACTGTTGGCTTTGTCTTCTCATGACTGATGAAGCTATTGGATGTGTGTGTATCAAAACCCACCAGATTTGTGTTTAGACCAATCATAAAAATTCACTTCCAATATGCAGCAGAGAATATCCTCCTGCCTTAAAAAAGCAGCTCATGCTGAGCCCTTCTCTTGGCTTTGAAATGCATTTTGGTGCATGTCAAGACAAAAATATCAAAATATGGAATAACACCATTGCAACACCCTATGAGTTCTGCAAAACCTACCATCCTGGATATCAAATGCTCATGGGTACTGCATTTGCACTGAAAGTGGGGATCTGCTGGCTTCACAATTGAAAATTCCTGGAAAAAAATAATTACCCCAATTTATGCTGCATCTTTAAAGTCTCAAAACTGCACACACCACGAGGAGCTTCACAAAGGGAAAGTGAACCAGCTTCCTACAGATGCAACCATTCCTAGCAGAAATAAGATTAATTTTATCACTACTCAACTACTATAAAACAACCAGCACTGCTGTATTAACCAATACACTGCATTTAACTGAATTATGGCATGGAGTATAGGATGAGATGTGCCAGCACAGGAGCCCCAATTCTCTGACTGCTCAGAGATTGGCAGACTTGCAAAATACCTGGGAGTGTTTGACCAGCAAACACTAAACCTGCTCTGTGGATGATCTGGTGGCCTCATTTTCTGCAGTGAGGATCTCTGCCACCGTTTTACACCCTGCTCCAGGCCCACAAAACCTCAATTTTGGCTGCCAAGAGCATCCCCAAACCCCATTGCTTGAGGTACCCAGCAGCCTCACACATCAGTGCTGCTGCACGTCACCTCAGTGGGAAAACACCACTTTTTATCCTTTTTTTGCACAGAAACCATCCAACATACACAAAATCACTCTGTCAAAGCCCATCATACACAAAATCACTCTGTCAAAGCCCATCCTCTTCCCCAACAATGCAATTTTAAAATGCGTTTCTCATTTCAAAGTGTCCAGTGCCTGGACAGCCGCTCACTCCCGAGTCTGCTCATCCTCACACCCATCCCAGGAGAAGCTTCACACCCTAAAAACACCATCCAGGGCCAGGCTGAGATCCCTGAATCTGCTGCTCATGGAGCCACTGCCATCCTGTGTAGCAACACCTCTGGTAAAATGAAACTTAGAACAGTTTATGGTCGCTGAATGCCCCTAGAGAAACAAAGACACGAGACAAAAAGATACAACGCTGCACGGGTGCGATGAGATGCCAACAGCTGAGTCAGAACCTGGGGTCTTTTTTTGGGGTTTTTTGGTTTGGGTTTTTTTTTTCCCCCTTTTCTTTTGGAATTCCCTGAAGGAGATCGGCAAGGAGGGTACGGGCAGAGCTGATGCCGTTCAGAGGAGCTTTGTTGTCTCTGGAGATCAACAGAGAGAGCTCTCCCAAAGAAACCTGCACCTTCCCTGGGGGTTTACTGCTTCACAGCAAAGATTCGGAAGGCATTCCCATCTGAAGGATTCTTCAAGCTGGAGACAAAGAAAAGAGGAAAAGAAAACAAACATGGAATGAACCGAGTGAAGACACCATAACCCAAACAGGCAGCTCTGAATTGCTCCTATCTCTTTCCTACCAGGAGTAGGAGGAAGATAAAGGTTGAAAAAGAAGTGGCACAAATCCATGGTTGCACCTTTTTTTTTACATTTTCAATCCAAATCTGTAGTGCTAATGCCAAGAAAAGGAGCTGGAAGACAACAGACTCTCTTACAGCCCTTGCTTTTATCCAAGGAACACTGTGCTCCCTCGTGCAGAGATTCAGGCATAAAGAGGAATATGTTTTCCTTAAAAAACAGTTTTCAAATAGGTTGGCAGGTTCCCAGGGGCTGTCTGGCTGGGCTCCTAGTGCTGGGAGTGGGAATGGCCAGATCAGCCCACGTTAAATGACAATAAATGTGGATATTCCTTTTCTATCTGCAGAGGTGTCCCCAGCTGCTTTGACTCCAAGCTGCTTGGGGCAGCTGTGTGCAGGGGAAAGGGGATGTTTCTAGTTCCAGGTCCTACAGCACTGAAAAAACACAGGAAAAATACAAAATTTCATCTTCCAACAAAAAAAAATATTGCAACAATGGTGAAGACCTAGTAAATCCTCAAGGCAATCTTTTCCCATGCCTGTTTGGGTGTGTACCTTTACCCAAGGTTATTTCCAGTGTCCCAAAGGGTAAAGGTTCACCCGAGTCTTGGAAAAGCTCTTTCACTGCCTGGTGGATCTCACAGCATGAAGCTGCACCTTACTGCAGAGTGTAAATAATATTTTCCAAATCTTCATCCCTGCTGTGAGAAGGTTTCTGGTTTCCCTCACCCCTCAGATCAGCACTGGCTGCTCACATTGCACATCCCTGAGAGTTGTGGGATTTATTCTTAACTAGGGCACAGTTTGCCATCCCAGTAAAAAGTTGTCTTTTAGTATAAAATATAAGTGAAAGCAAGTCTGAGATAGAAAAAAAAAAAAAAAAAGGAAAGGAACAGGAGGTTTTTCACCTAAATTTAGGTTATCCAACTGGAAAATGTTGACCCTTTATATTAAAACCCCCATATTTAACAGCTATAACTTTCCTGTCTTAGTGTGTTTTTATTTCTGGAGATGCTCCAAAGCATGCTGGAATATCCATTGTTAGAACAAAACCAGCAAACTTGATAGAATTCCTTATTATCTTTAAAAAATAGGAATTGCACAGGGCAGACAGAGTTAGCAGTGACCAAAAACCCCCCTAAGTGTGGGAAATTCTGTTCTTGTGAAGATAGCTCTGAGAAATCAATGCCATCACACCAATATCTGAAAAAAATACATAACAGATAGAAATGAAGTCTCAAATTAGGAAGGACTGGATGAGCTGTGACTGGATTGTTGTGATCTTGAGGAGGTGAAGGATGTTGGAAGCACAGATTTGCAATTGGTCACTGAAACCTGCATGGTTGACCCATGAGAAATTACCAAAAAAACCTACAAGGGTGGCAAATTCATCTTCAAAAAGTGTTTGATCATGTCTCAAGAGTTTAATTTACTTATTTCAAAGAGAATGGAGGACATGAATCAATAAATAAAAATGAATCCCACACTCCAGAACTGAATGGAAATCCAAATTACAAACCCCAAATCATGACCCAGGCTGAAAACTGAAAATACCTGTGCTTATCTCCTGGTGTGTTAAACACACAGCAAAATGGATTCACATGGACTCGTGCTGTAACAAAATCTAACAGGGTTTGACAACATTTCACAGCAGCCTGAGCGCAGCTCCGGGCTGGGGGAAGGAAAGAGCAGGACAACACGCTCCATTTGTTTGGGTGCCACAGCTCACAGTGACACTGGGAAGCCACCAGCCTGTCGAGCTGATACCTGCTGACTTTCCCAGGCAGCTGAACCCATTGTGGGAAAGGAGAGGGAAGAACAAAGGAAGGAAATCCCACCTCTCTGACTGGACGCCGTTCTTTAAGGAACCAACGTAGGTTTTCTTCTTTTCTACGGGCATCACGTCCACAAAGCCTCCTCTCTCATCTGAAATGACCCCTGCGTGCACTGCAGTTTTGCAGATACTGGAGCTCTGAAAAATATTTAATTATTTTGACTTATGCACTGTCTGTATTTTATATACGAAGACTTATCAATTCCATCCACACCAACAGGGAATAGACAAAGAAACAGTTATGAAACAGTTTTGTCCCTCTTTTGGACAAACTATGGACTAGATCTTGCAGGTGTGACATAATCCCTGGATGAAAGAAGATGCACCATCACCACAGAGAACAAGCAGATTTTCCATCATTCTGAGGTGGAGCTGCACCTGTGAGATCATCATAGAAGCACACAATGGTTTGGGTTGGAAGGGACCTCAAAGATCTTTCCAGTGCCACCCCTACCATGGCAGGGACACCTTCCACTGTCCCAGGTTGCTCCAAGCCCTGTCCAGCCTGGCCTTGGACACTTCCAGGGATCCAGGGGCAGCCACAGCTGCTCTGGGCACCTGTGCCAGGGCCTGCCCACCCTCACAGGGAACCATCCCTTCCCAGTGTCCAGTCTAAAGCCACACTTCATCTTATCCAAGGCCAAGACTGAATTGAGGACAACTTTCCAGCCAGTGCCTCTTGGGACTGCACCAGAGAAACCTCTGAGGTGAAACTCTCTGCTACTGACAGCACAGGTTAATAATTTTTTTGGGGGTTTTCCAAAGTTGCTTGGAAAGGAAATGCTTCTCCTGAATTACGGTAAATGATCACTAATTATCTGGGACACTTCACATCCTTCTTTCTAGGAAAGACAGAAGGGCTGGCCCCTTTGTCTGGTGTAGTTTTTGGATGGGCTTTACCTCATAAAACAACACCAAATGTGGAGGGAGATTACACTTGTGGAAAGATTGAAGTTTCTCTATTGCACATCCCAGATTTGCAGAGTCAGAAGAGCTGGAGGAACACAAACCAGTAACAACTGATGACTAAGCCCCCAAAGCATCCAGGAAAAGGGAGCAAAAGCTGAGAAGGCTGAGGGATAGTGTAAACTTGGCCATCAGCTCTCTGCAGGGTTTACACGCAGCGAGCTGGAAGAACAGAAAGGAAAAACCAACTCTGCTCAGCAAACTACAGCAGGTGAAAATCCCAACCCCAGAAATGCCCCGATTGCTAAAAATCCAAGTACCACAAAACCAGTGCCAAGTTCCCTTTGCATATGTACAATACAGCCCATGCTGCTCCCCTGCCACAGCCATATATGGCAGCTCTGCCTTGTCCCCTATATATTTATCACTTTGGATGGCCTATCTCTTGGCAGCCCTCAGAGTTTGGAGTGCCAGTTTGGTATTTTTCTTCTATATATGGTCAAGGGAGCAAGGGAATGCTGTGTTTGGAAGATATGCAGTGAATTTGCCCTAATATGTGGTGGGAAATCTATAAATCTAAATCTGGCTCATAAAATTAAACTGTCCTGGATCAATTTGCGACACTCTCCGCTGGGAGACGTCCTGAACAATGTTCTTTTCAAAGCATTCCTGTTATTTATTTTTTTTTCCCAGGACTCGCTGTTCCGACGCTCACGCAAAGCTTTGACCAACAGATTTACCTCAAACCTCCTCTTATCACTCTGTTGGATTGCAGCCCTCTCATGTTCCAGGCTGGGCTGTGCTTTGATTAATTGATTGCAGAGCTTTTGGAAGATGGGCTATTACAAGAATAAGGCCTTCCCTTCCAGGTCCAGGAGTACAGCAGCGTGGACAATACAACACTTTTCCACAGTGAAGCCCCTAGGGATGCTCTGAGACCAATTCTTGATGAAACAAGCCTCAGGGCACACATCATAAAATGACAACACACTTTGTAGTGTGTCATTAACAATATTGTCTGACTATGAGCTTAATCACCCAGAATTTCATCACTAGTGTGGCTGGTTTAATCACGAAGTTCAGATCACCTGGGAGCTGACTCCCAACTTAATTTGCTCTGGTGACAAACTCCTGCCTCTGTGCAGGCCATCCATCCATCCATAAATCCATCCATCCACCAATCCATCCATCCATCACTGCACAACTGTGGGTAAAACCTTATCTCAAAGCTGGGGAAGTTGCTCTTTCCTGGCTCCACAGGGCTCCTGGGCAGGGATGGGGATGGGTTTCCCCTGCAGGATTATGTCACACCAGGAGCCAGGCAGAGTGACAAATGACAGAGTCTCGTGGAAGTCAAAAGCTCTTTTACAACCTTCATAAAGATCCCTGGCTGTTCCCACAGCTCCAGCATCAAGGCCAGGTTGGACAGGGCTTGGAGCACCCCAGTCTATGGAAAATGTCCCTGCTCTTGGCAGGGGGTGGAACTGGATGGGCTTTGAAGTCCTTTCCAATCCAAACCATTCCATGACTCTATGATCATCACAGAACTAGGCCTGTCCACTTTTACCATCACATATTTCTTGCATTTTAATGATTTACCCCAAAATTCAAGTCTCTTCTACATCCCTGTTCCACAGTCTTACTAATTTCCCCACGAACAATTCTCTGAACTGCTTTTTACAGCAAAGTTCAGACTGGAAATGGGGCTAAATGCTTCTTTGTCTTTTAGACAACTTATTTAAGAAAACTCATGTGGAGCCCAGGTGCCCCTAGGGCCATGAACGTGCCACACAAGACATGAAGTTGGATCCCAAAGCCCTCCCAGAAGACCAGCACTTGTCTCATCCAGCTCATTGCTTCCTTTAATTATTCCTTGGCAGTGGGCTTGGGTTAATTCCCAGCACCCTTGTGGCAGGTACGTGGTTTTTTTTTTAGGATTTATTTTTTTAGAAGGTTGAATGATTTCTTTATCATAACCATATTATAATACATTAATATACTATTTAAAAGAGATACTAAAACAATATATTTACTTTTTTTTATTACTATATCTAACTAACAACTAGTGACTCTCTTGCACGAGTCTAGATACAGGTGGAGCTGATTGGTCATCAGGCTCAAAAAATCTTCACTATAATCTAATCAAGTAATCACCCCAGGGGAAAAATCACCTACATGGGAAAAACAAGGAGCAGAAATAGATATTGTTTTCTCTTTCTTCCCTCTGTGCTCCTCTATGAAAAAATCCTGAGAGAGAGAAGAATGTGCCTGCCACACACCCTGCACAGGCCTTTCTCTCTGGGAGAAGCCTTTCCCCAAATTCTCCTTGAGTGGTGTGTTTATTTCTCTTCTCAACTTCCCATTCTGAGCATCCCCAGCATCCCCACCTCTCCCTTTGCAGTGCCACTCAGAGTCGCCTCAAACTCTTTGTTTCAGCTGCTTTGCCACAAACCTCAACACTTTCCTGGCACCTCCACATCCCCCTGCTAGCACAGTAATCCAAAAAAAGGTTAACCAAACCCCCGAGAAAGGGGCCAAATGCTTTTTTATTACTGTTGCTTTTTGTTTTTCTCCCAGGCCACCATCCATGCCCCCGTTTATGAAACAATACCCAGGAGGGACAGTAGGAAATGGGTTCATTACAGGACACTAATCCTTTTGCGTCAGTGCAATGCCAGCCTGGGATGCTGCTCCTCACCTAATTCCTCTGTAATCACAGGGGTGATCTGAGGGAGGTTTGTCCTCTGTAAAAAAGAGAAAACTATTTCCCATTTCCTGCAGGTGGGAGCATGCAGGAGGCAGGTACTGCAGGGAGGCAGCTGCCCCATGGAATTGCCTGTGAGCTAGTCCAGGATAACCTGTTTGTGCAGCTCTACCTTCAAAAAAAATGGTCTGGAACAAAATTAAAATAGTGTGGGTTTTTGTTTTGTTTTGTATTTTAAATTGCTTTCAAAATTGCTTCTCCAAATTACTGTATGATTCCTGCAGGATGGATTTTCTTCAGCACTCTGCAGAGCTCCATGGTGACCTGAAGCCAGGGGTCCACAATCTGCTGACTGCTTTTCCCAGGCTTTCAAAGCCATAATCCTACAGGCTACAGGGCAGCCAAGGAACTGGCATTCCTGAACACAGCCCCCGATGGAAAACAGAAAATGAGGAAAAAAACCAAAATAACCAGACACCCACCAAAGGAAAAGCATTGAGACCCAGTTTTTGGACGCCTAATACTAAGAGATTTCAAGAAAATTACTCTGCCTAGTTTTATCATCAAGTCTCTGCTCATTCCCTTCAGCAAAGCTCAGAAAAACAAACCCATAAAACCAGCTCACACACTTTCTTTCTTTCCACTGCTCTGAGCTCTGTCCTGGCTGCTCAGAAGTTGTTCATCTCCCAGAAAGAAGAAGCAAGAGAGGTCTTTTTCTGTCAATTCCATAGCGTGATAGGGTGGAATAAAAGCCCTTTGGTGCTCATCTATAAATCCCAAAATGCATTACAAAGGTAAACAAGCGCAACCATGATTTCACAGCCAGAGCCCAAAGGTTTGGGGGGGTTAATGGACATGACCAAATCTCTAGGAAGGAGTCAGTGCTGGAGAGTGGACGGGCACACCAAACCCAGTGGCCACAACTCAAGGAGCTGTGGAGTGACACATCCAAATCCTTCAGAATAACTCAGTGTTGGAGATCAAAAGGGCTCCCCAAGCCCATCTTTTACCCATCCCCACGTGGAATAACCACAAGATAGATTGAATTTCTCCCCTCAAACCCCAGAGTTAGCCCAGCTCTGGGACAGGAGAGTCAGGACCTGCAGGGAGAGGTTTGTACTCACATCCGCGTAAACGTTGGTGCCAAACACCGGCGCCCAGTACGACGGCTCGTCCTTACAGTGGGCTGGGCAGTAAATCCTGGAAAACAATGTATTCAGATTTATTCTCCAGAGCAGGGCTGGACAGGAAGGTGAGCTGCATTCCTGGGAGATTTCAAGTGCCTGCATCTGGTCTGCAGGTGACAACAGTGAATTTGATTATTTGCTCCCCTCAGATGACATTTGGTGGTTGCTGCAGAACTGCAAATAGAGGGGTTTGGACCAGTAGAAGAAGGATTGGGCTTTTTTGACCCTTTCAAGGGGGAGCACCTGTATTTTTGGTCAATTCTGTGCACATAAATCTCTGCATGTGTTTCTGCCCCCCTGCCCTATCACGTACTCCTGCACAGTTTCCAGAACAAACTTCTTCCATGTTTTAAGGTGGAAAGGAAAACAACATCCAAAACCCAGCAAATGCAGAAGCAAAAAGACACAGAGTGTGCAGTTGCACACTCACAGGTGAGAGTGTGCTGGGACAGGATTGTGCAGTCTGGCTGATATGTAACTGAAGCCATCCAAAAACATAAAGTGAATTTTCTACAGTGATGCCAAGAAAAGCATGGTGGCAGGGAGAAACACGCCATTCCAAACTCCCTGCTCCAGTTCAACCAGTATGATCAGCTCTTCTCCCACCAGCCCTCAAATTCAGGGGCCTCAGCACCTTTGTTAAGCTGCCCCTCCCTTAGGACAGAGGTTTTAAACCCAACAGATTTGTGCTACCTTGGGCAGTGGCTCGCTGGCTTTTTGAAGTGGCACAGTTCAGCTACTGTGGTGTAACAATCCAGAGTCTGTGCTGCCAAGATAAACGCAGAAAGGCAAATTATTAGACCCAAAAGCTCAGGATGCTGCAGAAAACACAAGTCAGAGCCACACAATGCATTTGGTGAGACCCTTCTCCAACTGAGAGCAGCAGGATCCCAGGATGGGGTTGGCCAGCTCTCCAGCAGGAATCCTACAAACACACTATAGTGTGGCCTTAAAAAGTCACAGTTTTCAAAAGAGACAAGCAGCCCAAATATCCTGACACCTCCAGTTCTCCCTGGAAGGGGCTCAGGTGGATCTAATCAAAAGGACGATTCTGTGTTGGAGGAATTTTTCAAAGACATTCAGAAAGTGGGAATTGTTTAAAAAGTAGAGCAGTGTTTATTTATATGCCCATCAGAAATGGGATGACTCAGTGTTAAAAACTAATTTCACATGTATTGTGTTTTTCATTACATTACTGTACTAGGACATTAGCCACTAATTTTTTTTTTTTTTTTCAGATTTTGTAAGTGTTGACACTTGACTGAGCCTTTCAGAGATGGATGGCTCAACTTCCATCCCTTCACTATGAGCAGCTGAAGTCTGGACCCCACCATGATCCATCAGCAGGAGATGCTGCTGGAATTGGCCCATTTTCACCTGTTTTTTACTTTCCTCTTAGATGCCCCCAGGAAAATGAGGTGGGTGGTGGTGGAATTGCCCAGGGTGGGTGGGCAGTCACTCTAAGGCTCTGATCACCCTAGACCACCACTCCAGGGTTTGGCTGTGGCACAGAACCATTTGACACAACCACTGAAAATGAAAAAGAGCCCTGAAAGGAATGATGTTTTCAAGTACCCCATAAAACCCCAGCAACAATATATTTTCCCCTCAACATTTAAAACTTACTTGTGACTTTGGAAACCATGAATGCATTTGAAGGTTTACTTTTCCTGTAAAACAAGCAAACAAACAAAAAAAAATCTATTTAAAAAAAAATAAGCAGAGTAGAATTATTTGGACAGCTGTGTCTACATGAGAGCAACAAAGATGACTGAACATCTGCTTGTATTTAAAGCTGATACCAACAGATTTTGGTGAGGGCAGTACCTGAATGACTCCACACCGTTCCTGGTGGACTTCACAAAAGCAGGTGTCCTCCCTCTCCTCGTGATATCCACCAGCCCTCCCTTGTTGTCCAGGATTCCATAATGGATCGCAGCACGACATATGCTGGAGGACTAATGGGAGATAAATAGATGGGGTGGGAAATAAATCAGATAAAACTCACAGAGCAACGCTGCCCAAGTGCTACGTGAAAAACAGAGAAGAAATGAAACCACCACCAGAGCACCAAGTGGAAAATAAGCTGAGCACACTCCTTTGGAATCTGGTTGTTAAATCTTCCTCTCCCAATACAGATTCTTTTATTACTATTATTTTAAGCACTGCCTGGTTGAACGGCAAGCTTTTTTTTCAATAACAAAACCATACATTTAAATACAATTTAGAGGAAAATCAGCGTTGGAAGTGAGAGAACAGTCTGAAATGTTTCCAGTTCTCGACAAAATACTCAAACCCAAAATATTTCTGCTGACGCCACTTGGAGGGGTTGGGTGTCTGCAATCACAGAATTTCCAGGGCAAAGACACATCAGGAGTGATGCAGTCATGCACCAACAGTTGGAACAGGGAAAGAAAACCTGATTTTACCCAGAAAAACCTTTTTATCTTCCAACTCCCTTCACCCCAAAAAGCAGTTTTGATGGGAAAATGGTGCCATGCTTTATTTATAAATTATCTTACTAATTTAAGATCAAGCAAATCAACCCAAAGTATTATTTAGTTACAATATTTAACAGTGATTTTTTATATAGTTTCTGTTCAGATGACAGCTGCCCACACGAGCAAAGAGATGTTTGTAGGAGTTCATCTCTCACTTTCCCTGGGTATCCTCATTAATTCCTGACAAAATCACGTCTGGAACCACTTTGCCTTCCCAGAGTCTGTCCCTTTTTTTCAACACCAAGATGAGGAAAATACAGATAACCTTTATTAGCACCACTTTACAGCACCACAACTGGGGAACATGAAAAGCCAAATTACACCAGAATGGCTGGCATTTCCCATTTCTGTCATTCCCACTGACTCCCACAAATTACATCCAGGAGCTATTAAAAGGTACTTACACTTTCATAATAAAATGTTCCAAAGACCTTTCCCTTACTGTACAAGCAGCCAGCTGGGCACAAATACCTAGGAAAGATATTTATCTTTGAGGGTGGCGAAAAACAATTCAAGAAAAACAGACTTTGACTCTATTTCATTTAATAGCCATTCCATTCATTTCACGTAGTTCTCCCGTTTTAAAAACAAGATTGCAAAATAGCCACTTTTTTAAAACAGTTGCTCCACCCTCCTTAAGAGCCCGACCAATATTTAGGTTCTGTGGATTTGGTTTTTCTCCAAGTGATAAACTGTCCTGTTCTCTGCAGAAACCTTAACCAGAAGTTCTTGACTGGCTGGGAGGGATAAGTCATGAATTATTGGTCTGGCTTGGACAGCAGTGGAATGCATGAAAAAGGCTCGAAAAATGACTCTGCTGAAATGTATTAAATTATTTTGGACACCTGAAACTCTGGGTTAACATGGCTGAATAAAATCATCCAAATCACCTTATTGCCAGGCTTGGCTGAAGGTTTGAATTAATAGAAATTTTGGGGATCTTTTTTGTTGGGTTTTAGGGCTTTTCCCAAAGAGATCTACCCAGAAAGTCACAAAAAATATATAGTGCAACCTATCCTGTGTTTGCAAGAACTGAATAATATTTAGCAATAAAACATAAATACTTATTAAATATATTGTGTAATAAAAAGTAAATATTTATTTACTTTTTCCCTCAGCACTCCAAGAAGTATCAACAAAATCCCACCTGTTGCATGTTGAGCCTCTGCACTTGTCTCTCATCTTGGTTTCACAGGTAATGACTTGTGCTGGGGAGAAAAAAAAATCAAATAAATACATTTTTTAAAAAAGGAAATTGCTCAGCCTGCTCTTGAGCTAAAGCAATGAGCAACCTCCAGACTTCTTTCCTGGAGGTCTTTGGTGCAGCAAGATAAAATCTGATTTTATCCAGCCCGGAGCAGCTGGTGCCTCTTTAGCCCTTCACCCGAGACAGGTGTCTTTGGAATATTAGCGAGGAAGATGCAGCTGACAGCTGAAGGCTTTGATTTACAGCCCGAGGTCTGCAGTCAGAGCTCTCATTCTCCTTTTAATTACAGACTCTCAGATGCTGGCAGATAAACTTGAAAAGGACCCGTTGGCCTGCCCCACCTTGCTTTCTCAATAAGTGTCTTTTAATTAACAGCGGCTGGAAAACAACTCAGGAAGTACCAGCAGCTCCACAAATAACTTCAGAAATATTCCTGAGCAAGAAATAAGGAGGAAACGAGCCATAAACCCCAGAAAAGCTGTGAAGAAGGGTAAGTGCTGAGTATAGAGCTTTTTAAAGGAGAAATAAAACTAGTATTTCCTAAATTTATTACTGATTGAGGGGACTTTTGGCACATTGATATTTAATTGATATAAGGAGGACATGGACTGCTGGAGTCAGTCAGAGGAGGTCACGGAGATGCTCTGAGAGCTGGAGCCAGGCTGGCAGAGCTGGGGGTGCCCATCTGGAGAGGAGAAGCTCCAGGGAGAGCTCAGAGCCCTGCCAGGGCCTGAAGGGGCTCCAGGAGAGCTGGGGAGGAACTGGGGACAAGGGATGGAGGGACAGGACACAGGGAATGGCTCCCACTGCCAGAGGGTGGATTTAGATGGGATTTTGGGCAGGAATTCCTCCCTGTGAGGGTTGACAGACCCAGGCACAGGTGCCCAGAGCAGCTGTGGCTGCCCCTGGATCCCTGGAATGCCCAAGGCCAGGTTGGACTTGGGATTTGGAGCAGCCTGGGACAGAGGAAGGTGTCCCTGCCATGGCAGGGGTGGGACTGGATGAGCTTTGAGGTCCTTTCCAAGCCAAACCATTATGGGATTCTATGAAGTGACTGAAACAAGCACAGAACCTTTGCAGATCGATGTGCAGAAGGTACAGGCTGCTTTTGAGAGCTTTGCTCACCGCTTCTAGCAGCTTTCTGCACAACTGAAATTTTCACACAGTGAATTTTCCTACAGATCACCTTTCCTCCACTCAAACGTCCTCCCAGCTTCTTCATCCCTGAGCCTCCTCATCACTTCCCACACCTTTCCCCACAGAGGTGCTTCAAAACCCATAGGGGCTGAAAAAAGAGAAAGGCTGTGCCTTACTCATGTAGGATTCTGGGGTCATTTTCTTGGGCTTGATGGTTTTGCTGGGTTTGTTTTCTGGAAGGTGGAACTGCACCGGCTTCTGCTCCGCCACCTGCGGAATCTCCACCTCGTTGGTCTCGTCTGTCTCGGCAAGGATGGGATCTTCATAACGGTGATCTTGGTAGAAGAGGAGATTAAAAAATTATCACAGCGTGTTTACACTGGTGGGCAAGTCCGGTTCATGTTTGGTGGGGATGATTATCTGGACAAGGATCTCTTTTAAACAGCTGGGAAATCAAAAATGCCCATTGGAGGCAGCACAGGGCTATTGCCAGGACACTCCTGCTCCTCTGCACATGAAGCAGCATTTACAGCATCTCACAATAAATATTTGAAGGGATCCCCACTAATTAGTGAAAAAAGGAGCTGATATTCCTTCCTCTGTTTCCCACTGAGCTCTTCCCTCTGGTGGAAAACACAGATTTGCTGAAGGGCTCATATTCCATCAGGGCATCCCCTCCTCTCTCCCACCTGCACCCTGGGGTCCCCCTTCAAACCCCACAAGATAAAAAATGAGAAATGCATGGTGGCAGCAAAATAAACCTCTGCACCCTGGGCAAGTCTCCAGGGAATCTCCCTGTTTTCAAAGAGCCCAGCTCTGGGAAGCAAAACTCTCGGGAGGAGAGAAATGACCCCAGGAGATCCTGCACTGCTGCACTGGAGGGCTCACCCTAATAATACATTTCATCCTATTGGCCTCTCTTCCAAAAACACTCCACGGGTCAGGAAAAACCCTTCAGGATCCCCCTCCTCTCCTCCAAGGGACACAAATAGCTATGTTCATTTTGCATCCCTGAAAACCATGCCTTGACTCCCCCACCCTGAAAGGTGGGGAGGGAGGCAGGGGCTCCATCCGTGCCCCCCGAAGGAGCAGGGCAGGCAGCCAAGCTCTGCCCACCCACGATGCCTCTGCCAGGCTCTGGAGAACATTCCCTTTCCCAGCAAACCCCACCAGAACGGGATCGCTGCTGCCTGCAGCCCACCACCGCTCAAAACCCCCTGCAGCTCCCGAACCAAACCCATGGGAGCTCAGAGCTTCTTCTCCCCATCCAAGCTCTCTGTTTTCCCCAGGAAAACGTGATAAATCCCAGCTCCAGGTTTTCAGCAGCTCAGGGATTCTTGCCTTCAGTGCCATATCCCATGTGTCCCAACGTAGGGATATTGAGGATGGTTAATTAAAAAGGGCATGAAGCTGTGGCTGGCTCTGATTAGAAACTTCCAGATGTTTGCTCCAGCCTTGTCCCCCACCCCAGAGGTGCCCCAAGCCCCCAGCAGGTACCTTTGTAGCAGAGGTTGTTCTGGCAGCTCCCCCCATAGCTCGGCGGGCACTCGGAGCAGGGACGGCCGGTCTTGTACGGAGCTTCTCCGATCCAGTTGCCCCTGGGAGCACAGGAGAAATGAGCACACATCGGGCACACAAACACCCTTCCAACCCTCCAAACCCAGAAACATCATCCTGGCCTAGAGCAACTAAATAAAGACTAAACAACCAGGCGTGTAGGAAAGATGCTCCTCCTCGCTCCGTCTCTAAAATGACATTTTTTAGGGGTTTGCTTAAATCGTGTGCCATAACGCTTTTAAATTACATTCCAATATAAACACCAGGGTCTTCTATAAATAGAAATAAATAAATGGATTACTGGATTTTGCTGAAGAAGCTCCCCAGAAACAACAGCTCGTGTTGACATTCTCTCCTGCAAGTTTTAGGGGATGGGGAGGTTGAAGGAGCCAGAGTTAAGCTGTGCTATAAACTCCTGGGTTATGCTCTTTCAGCTGTCTCCACCTATAAGGCTACATGAGGACAATGTGCACCGATGCCAGAGAGAAAAGATTAAGCAGCAACTGCAGAAATAGAGTATTTTTCCATCCAGCAGCTCTGAATGGATGATGTGTAAATCTCCCAGCCTGCTGTGGGGGCTCTGTGGGAGATGCTGTTATTCCTCAGGAGGAGCAGGTTGTTAAGTCCCCCAAACCAGGAGCAAAATGTTCTCATTTGACATGGGGAGAGGGACTTAGAGAACCCACCCAAAGAGCTCTACCTGGGACACGACAGCTACAGCCCCACACTTCTTTTTTCTTTGCATTATTCTGCACTGTGATCCCCTGAAGTCAGGTGCTCCCAAGCCACTCCTTTTGCATAGAGCGATTTCCCTATTTTATTTTGTTTTGAAGTTTTAAATTGCCAAGGGCTTGGAGTGAGAATGTTTCTCCTATTAGCCATTAAACCAGAAAATCTTAACTGCCATTGCCAGGTCGTAAACGTCTCCTGGATGTAGTAGGCAAGAAATATGATTTTCATTTTGAAATTTAATCAAACCGTCGAGCTAGTGAAATCTTGACTGCTGCAGTTATTTCAGGGTTTTTTTGGCATTCACCACCACCCCATCCCTTCCCACCCTCTGACAGCAGAGAGCAAGCCTTGCTCAGCAGCACACGCCAGCTCCATCCTGGCCATCTCCTGCTCCTCCTTTCCCTTCCCGTGGCAGGAACATCAAAGCTCCAGCCTGGCCTCAGCCTCTCATTCAGTTTTCCAGGCTCTGTAGTTTTGAACCAGCCCTGTGCTGCTGTCTAAAGAAAAAATTTAAAGCCACAACCACCAGTCTAGACTGCCCGAAATCTCTTCCCCAGAGCTAGGTAAGCATTCTGCCAGTTTTGGGAGAGCTGGAGAGAGCCCAGCTGCTCTGCCTTACTTGGGGGAGTAGTTGCAGACGAGGTAGACAGCGTTCTCCCAGATCTCTCCCCACACATTCATCTGCTTGCAGACATGCACAGCACAGCCAATCCTGTTGGTTGTGGCCCAGACTATCTGTAAGGGAAGTGTAGTTATTGCAAATCATCAAATTACCCCGATGCAGACATGGGGAGATGTGGGGAATGCGGGTACAGACCCCTTGGAGTCCTTTACCTGGGTGTAATGTGTGCACATGGCACCTGTACACCTCTCTGGGCACCACGGGTTGCACTCGTGGGGGTATGGGAACGTGTAATCTTTCACTTCATCATACCAGGACTGCACGTGGAATGCTGGAGATCGATACCTGAGCGGGGAAAAGGCAGCTGGAATCAGGATGTTCTGGTAGAAGTTTTCAAATTTTTTTTTAAATGTTAAAGATGAAGGGTTAGATGGGATTTAGGAAGGAATTGTTCCCTGGGAGGGTGGGCAGGCCCTGACACAGGGTGCTCAGAGCAGCTGTGGCTGCCCCTGGATCCCTGGAATGTCCAAGGCCAGGCTGGACAGGGCTTGGAGCAGCCTGGGACAGTGGAAGGTGTCCCTGCCCATGGCAGGGTAGTTGAAACTGGAAAGATCTTTGAGGTCCCTTCCAACCCAAACCGTTTTGTGCTTCTATGATTTTTTCCCTCAGATTCACAGCCTGACCTGACTATTATTTATAGGTTTGACAAGATCCTCAAGTGCTGCTGACCTGAAACGCCCTCTCACTTTTCAACTCAACTACAAAACAGCTTCTAGTTTGGCAGAAAGTTGTGTTTTGAAAGTAAACAGAAGTTAGGCTTTGCCAAACATCTTAAACCAAAAGCCATCATGTACCTATTTTACCACGGGGCAATTTGCTAAATCTGGAAGTTAACTCCCAACCAAACTGTAAGACCTCTGAAAGTGAGTGGGTTTTTCCTCACTCACATCCCACCAGGAGCTGGTGTGGAGTAGTTGGTGCACTGCACTCCTATCCTACTTTTTTTTTGGCAGCAATTTTCCCCTGTACCCTGTGTGTAACCTCTGCCTCAGATACCACGGTCTGAGGCAGTGCTGATGCTGCTTGTCCTGTCTGGGGGGCACAAACGGTGTCAAAACTACCTGTTAGAAACTCACACACACTTTAGTCACAGTGAGCAAACAGAATGATCTGCAAACTGTACCAAACCCACTGCTTTTTGATTGCTTTCAACAGCTCACACGAAGCAAGCTGCCAGAAATCCAAATGATATCATTACCAACTGGAGCTTATCCTTCCAGCCAACTTTTCATTAAAAATCACTCATTAGAAGTATTTTAAAAACATCCATCTCATGATGTCATGAAGCAAATACTTTCCGAATCCCATTTTACAGGAGAGGAAATGGAGGCAATCAAGTTATGGCCCGTTCCTGAAAAAGCTGAGATAAATCTGATTTTTCTTTCCTCTCAGGGACCAAGATTGGATCTTCCTCCATCAGGAACCCATGGCCATCCTGAGCACTTGTAGGACAGCCAAGAACAACATGATCTTTTGATTTTTGTTTCCAATTAATTAACCACTCTACCTTCCAAACATTAAAATGGGCCAAATTTTTACATCCGGCTAATTTTACACCAGCAAATTTCCTTTGCTTTCCACTAAGTTCTACCTGATTTACAACAAAGATAACTGGATTTCCACCCAGGAAATGTGTGGAAAAAGCTCAGGGCTTCTGAGCAAGTACAAAATGTTTGCTGTGCAAAGCAGGTTTAACCTATAACAAGCTTAAAAACAGGGGCTTAACAATAAACAAATTTCATCTTGAGATGGAAAGGAAAATCCCTTTGGAAGCCTTCATGTCAGCTTTCCTAACTGGGTTAATGACTCTAGTTTAACAGCTTGTCCAAGGAATTGAAAAAAAAACCCTACAAAGTGTTTTCAGTAAAGAAAAATCAGGAGCCAGATAAATATTTATGGAAAACACAGCGAGAGATAATTAAATCCTGAACTGAACCCAGACACAAATTCTGAGCTGAATCCAGACATTGCTGCTGAGAAACTTCAGCCTTCAGCTGTGTGATGCCAGAACCTGCCCTGAAGCAGCACATTTAGGAGGGTTCAGACCTCTGTACCTGTTCTCCTCAAGGAGGAGTGACTTTAAGTCACTCCAGAGGTGCTACCCTGAGATCCAGATGGATGGAGGAGCCCAAGTCAGTGCTGGTTTCCTGGGAAGTCTCAGTGGAAGGTGGCTGCAGGCCTTACCACGATGACCATCCCACTGAAGCCATCACAATTAATGACCCCCAGCTTTTCTCCCATCTCCCCAGCGCTCCACCAAGCATCAGAGCAAATCTTCTAAAGAAGGACCCCTAAATCACCCTTTGCAATGATCCTGTAGCACCCCAAGCCTTACCTGCCCCAGTGAACCGCCAGGTTCTGCCCAATTGACCTGATGAGGTCACTGGGCCCGTGGTCCCAGATGCACTGCTGAGCCCAGGCGTGTGCTGACCGCTCCAGCTCCTCATCCCAGGTCTTCAGGGTGCGGGGAGAGAAAAGAACAGGTCAGCTTTCCATCTCAGACTCGCTAGATCAGGAGATTAAACCAACAGCAGTTGGTGGAGAAAGACTAGAACAGATCATCCCCGCCATTTCTGGCATGTTCTGGTGAAGCCACCACGTTTCTCTGCTAAAATCACATTTCTCAACATGTTCCCCTGCCATGAAAGTCCAGGGCACTAAAGTGTCTATGATTTTCCCCAGCTGATGCCATGCTTCTGAGGAAATGCTTCACTCACTTCACCAGAAAACACACAAACCCACGTGGGAAGACCTCAGGAGCACATCCAGACCATCCACCCTAAACCACACAATATTCTTGGCAGTTGTTTTTCTAATATGTTCTAAAAAATTAAAAATTAAAATTCGAGGCTGGAAATCCCATGATCTCCAACATGACACACATTTCTGAGTCCTGCAAGAGTTCTGATGTATCTCAGTGCCTTGATGTATTTCAGGATGATTTTTCATCCATTGTCCTTACTCTTGGGGTATCTCCAGGATTTCCCACCAAGAGGAGCTCCAGCAGTGGAGAGCTGTTGGAGTGGAGAGCTCCACTACCTCCACCACCACACAGCTGGAGATCTTTGATCCAGTCTGTTAATCAAGGAGTCTGAGGCTCTCAGTCTCAGCTCCCCTTCTCCTTCCAGAATAAATGAGAATCCACCAGTGGGTCCAGTCAAATACATCAGAGGTGGCAATGTCCCAGGGTTTTTTAAGCTTTTTCCACTCTCACTGAAGCAAGCATCACGTTAGAAGTGACAAATCCCATTTCTGCTCCCACTGAGGGCAGGATGCTGGGGTGAGATCACTCCTCATCGAATATCACGCAGTTGTGAGCCAAAGGAGAGCTCCAACATGACACAAAGGCAAACAGGAAAGCAGCTCTGCTGGCTCTGCTGCCCAGGAGAGTATTTGTTCTAAAGGCCAGACTCGCTGGGCCCAGCAGCCAGTGCCCTGAATTCATTGTGTAATTACTGACAGCTGCTCTATTCAGAACAGCCCTCAGAGGATAATTCGTTGGGATTAAAATATTACCGCGCATTCCTACAAATAAAACCAAAGAGAAGAGAGGTCTTGTAATGTGTATCCAGCCCATCCACACACCAGCACGAGACTGTCCTCTTTGGACATTTACCATCACAACCAGCTGCTCTTTCCAAGTCCTGTCTCCTCCAGAAGAAAGGCAACTTCTGATCTCAGGCATTTCAAAGGACCTGTCAGAGCCTGGAGGGCTGCAGGGCATCCAGTCTCTCAAACACATTTACAAACCACCAGTGATCATTCTGAGTATATCTGCACACAGCCTGGGGCAGCTGTAGCTGGGATGGGGAAGGACTGTGCATCCCTGGGTAACACAAGAGGAAAATGCAGCATCTCCTGGAACTTGGTTTGTCTCCACTGTCTCAGTGAGGCAAACATGACCTCATCTCACTGAGCTCACAGCCCAGGCCTCCCAGAACAGCTTATCATGAAGCACTCTCGACATCCCAGATTCCAGCAGCATCCCAGAGCTGCCCAAACTCACCAGCTCGGCTTTGGACTGAGCAGTGACCAAGCAAATCCAGTCTGCAAAACCCCGTGTGAACACAGCTCTGACACAGGGAGCAAAACCATTTTCCTTCCCAGCCCTCCAGCTCCTTGGAAGTGACAGGAGCAGACCCACCACACGTCTCCAACCTCTGCTCAGGCAGCCTCTTGCAGCAGTGCCCAGACACAGCTTTTTGTGGTTTCCCACTCTGTGGGCTCAGCAGCCACTGGCCACAGCTGCCCTCCCATCCAGCACAAAAGCCACAGAAACTCTCCCAAGATGTTCTGCACTCCGAGCTCCTCAGGCTTCCTACCCAGCTTTATTCCCTGCAGCCCCGGAGGTGGAGATGTTCCAAATCTCCTCATTTAATGCAGAGACGTCCTGAGTAATTAAATGGGAATTAATGCCAGCGTACACATTGTATCTCCCTTTGATGCCTAGGGATAAAATAAATGAACTCGGACAAAAGACACTTAACAGGTAATTAGGAAGCAGCTCCATCTCTGCACGGCTTTCTGCTGCATAAGGAGAGAAGCTCCTTTCTGCAGGCATCAGATTGCAAAGCCATCCCATCGAAATTAGAGCAGGTATTTGCCTCTTGCTTCTCAGATGCGAAAAGCGGAATTGTTTCACAGCAATAAACATCACGGGAAAAAAAGGGATTTCAGATTTTCCCAGCTATACTTGCAAGAATTCTTTATGCCAATATTCAAAGCAGTATCTAGGAAGATGACTGAAGCCAGAAGGACAACAAGCCTGTGCTCAGCTTCCTTCAGAAGCAGAGGTTGAAAATTTTTTGGGTGTGTGTGATTCCAAGTGGGTCAGCACATGGACTCTCTTTTTTTTACTCCTGCAAATTTCTAAGTGGAATAGACAGTGTATATGTAAAATATATGCATGGTATACAGACACCAAACCACAACTTGTAGGTCCAGATTTAATAATGCATCCCACAAGGAGTCTGCTCCCTCTGGCTAAGGAGCCTGCGAGCCCAAAGCCAGACACCTGAATTGCAGTGATCAGGTTACTCACTCATTTTCCTCCCCAGCTCAGACTTTCTGCAGTACTGGCAGCTTCCTTCTAAAAGTGGCATCAAACTCCAGGACTGACATGTCCTGGCAGAGGTCTGGAGATGCTTTTTGCTAACCCCCACAGAAACACTATCCCATCCTGACAGGGAAAGCCACCACCCTACAGTTGAGAGGAAGGATGCATACCTTATACATGAAAACAAACTATTTTCCTTCCAGCAATCTGCACTGAGAACAATTTTGCTTTATCCAGCTGTCTCGGAGGCCACCGCAAGAGGAAAGATTTCTGCCTTTCATCACTGCTGAAAGCATCTGACTAAGCCATCTTAAAGGTCACCATGCCTTAGGATCTATTATGTCCTTTTCCCTCTGGGTCCATTATGTCCTTTTTACTCTGGAACTGTTAACAAGGAGTTTGTTTTGGCCTTGGCACCCGTCCACCTCTGTTAACCAGTCTAAATGCACTCTGGAAGTGTCAATCATGGAGCTGGTGGAGGAGTTAAGGTAATTTTGAACTGGCCCAGCTTTGTCAGGAAGTTGTGCCCTGCTCACTCATTTTCCATTAGCATTGAATACCTGTGCCAGCTTTCAATTAATTACACAGATCCAGCAGCTAAACTGTTTCTTTCTTCATTTTTCAGTCTGCTTTGCCTTTATCCTGTATGTATATAAGAATTCTTTTGATCTCCAGATAAGTCATAGGAATCACTGTGTTCTTGCTTTCTTATTAACAGTGTCCAGCAACTGAAGCTCATCCAGTAGCAGTTAAATATGTCCCTTTCCTGGAATATATTAGGTGCCATTTCCCTGTTAGACCACTTAAATACATCAGATATGGAGCTGGGAGAAAGCATTTTCACAAGGGAGTGTTTGGAGGTTGATGGGCAAGAGCAAGCTCTACCCACTCATCCACAAATTATCCCAGCACATCTCCAGTGGTGCTCCACTCCGGCACCAAAGTGAAAGAGGAAAGTTTATCCATGGTTCTAAAGACAGACCATCCTCTTAAACGAGTCCAAATGAGAAATGTCCTCTGCAGGACAAAGGATTAAAGAGAAATTCCCGTTCAGCATATAGACGGCATTTCCAAGTCATACTGGGTAAACACCAGCACATGAAAGGCTGATTATAGCCCTTCCAAGCAGCACCATCTCATACCCAGCTCCTTTCTCCAGAGCACATAAGGCCCTTTCATTTGCCCTCCATCAGCCATAAAAACCACTAGAAAAGCTCCCAGAGCAAAGGCAAACACAGAAGTGCGACCGCGCCGCGAGCGCAAACAGCGGCCGGGCCGCGGGCACTCGGCAGCGGCGGCTCTGCTGGCCCCACGGCCAACCCAAACACCTGGGGCTTGCTCATGCTTTGTGTTTACCCTCTGCAAAGCCATCGAGTCCCCTCTTCTGGCAGTGCTTCCCTGCAGGACAGCACCAGAGAGGCTGAGAAAGGGATGCAATCCCCGCTTCTTAGAAAGGCACGGGATTTCTGGCAAAAGCAGGACCAAAACCCACCTGGAGTGGACGGACTAAGGGACAACTGTCCTTCCTCACCATCCCCTGCCCTCCCTTCCCTTTCCTTTCTCCCTGCACTCACAAAAGGCAGGATTTTCCATTCGCAGCCCTCGCTTCAGCACAGCTGGCAAACAATTTTATATTACATTGAAATGTACTCTTCTTTTACCCTTTTAAACATGGACTTAACAAGTCATCCGTCATTTGATCCGTCAGCAGGAGCACACGGCTGAAGTCAGACTAGTTTTGATCAGAACTGTATTTGCACACTGGGAAAAGGCACACAAAAAGCAATTATTTGCCTACATCATTTTGTGGCCCTGTAATATTTTGATGGCATGGCAAAAATAACTCAAAATAGAGTCTCTGGTATCAGGTAAAAAAAAAAATTAATGTGAATTGTTGGTGGCAAAGGCATATTTCATACTCCTTCAAGTTTTAAATTCTCCCTCTGAAGTGGGAGGATACATTGATCAAACTTTTATTTTGGTTTCCTGACCAACAACACTGACCCAACCACCCAGGAACTCCCAAAGCCTTTCCAGCTATTTCCAGTGTTTTGCAGATGGAGCCACGTTCCTCAGGCCCTGTTTCCCTGTGGTCCTGCACAGATTCCCAGGAGCATCGTGGAGGTTTGGCTCACCTTGCTGAGCTCAGGTGATCCGTGTGTGACTCAGGGCAGGTGCCACCTCCAGCACCCAAAAACCACCAGAAGATTCCCTGAGCCTAAAAGCTTTCACAGGGAGAGCAGGGGTTAAATGCTGGGGGAAAAAATGTCATTTTTATGGCTTAAAGGTAATGGAAGAACCTGCTGAAGCAGGCTGGGGAATTGCCATCACCGGAGATGCATCCAGGGCTGGGCCAGATGCTCCTTTATGAATAATGGAACCAGTTCTGACACTATGCAGAGGATGGACTGGATGACCCATCAGCAGCCCTTTCCAACCAAAACAGGCCACTGATCTAAAGCATCCTTCATTCTGGAATGAAAGGCTTCAGAAAACCTCTTCAGGGAAACTTACTTCGGAGGAAATTCACCACACCTCTCACACCACAAGGAAAATTTAAATACAGTTAGGGAAAAAAAAATAAAAGTAGTAATAAAGTGATGTATCAGGCTCTAGACTCACCATGTATTCCATGTTAGAGGCCACTGGATACACCTGACCTCTCAATTTGTTGTGGAGCATCAGTATCTCCTGTCTGTCTGAGAATAGAATGGCCCTCTTGGACCTGGAGTGAGCTTCCCCATCCTGGTATTTACTCAGGATGCTCTCCAGGTGACTCGAGTTGGGCAAGATGAAGCACTCAGCTGTCTTTGTCAGCAGCAGCACACATCCAAGAGGAACGATCCAAGGCAGGGCAGGATTCATGCTGCCAGCAGAAGCAGAGATGAGGGTGATGGTGGGTTTCCGTGCAGAGACTCCCGTGGCTCAGTGCAGGGCTGGAATTTGGGGAGAAAAAGGCAGTCAGAGCAGTGCCACAGGAGCTCTCAGTGCGTTTGTCCCCCAGCAAAGAGGTCACACAGCCCAGATTTGAGCTTGGAAAAGAGTGGTGCTTAAAGTTACTGCTCACCCCAAAGGCAGGGTGACCCAAACAGCACCACGGGAGGTGGAGGCTCAGTTTATTACACCTGGGCATTCCACTGATGCTGATTTGGGAGTGAACCCTTCCCAGGCATGCAGGAGGATACCTTCTGCATCCCTGGTGGAGCTACCACCCTGCAATGCCCAGCAGCTCTGAGTAACCCCAGCTCCATCCCTGCACAGGGAGACACTTTGAGCTATCCCCCCAGTTCTGGGCCCCTCAGTTTAAGAAGGATGTTGAGATGCTTGAGTGCATCCAGAGGAGGCAACAAGGTGGTGAGGGGCTTGGAGCACAAGCCCTGTGAGGAATGTTTGAAGGAGCTGGGGTTGTTTAGTCTGAAGAAGAGGAGGCTTAGGGGTGACCTTATTGCTCTCCACATTCCCTGAAGGGAGGTTTAGACAGGTGGGGTCGATCTCTTCCACCGGACAGCACTGACAGAACAAGAAGACACAGCCTCAGCTACGTCAGGGAAGGTACAGGTTGGATATTAGTAAAAAAATTTTCACTGAAAGAATAATAAAGAGCCGCAGTTTTTGGGAAATGTCGCGGCGGGGCCGAGCGGCCGCGGTCCCCGCTGGATGTGAGGGATGGAGCAGCAGGAGCAGCCGCCCTCCCCGGGCCAGATTCGGTGTTCCCAGGCCTGGGATGCCCTCAGCACCGAGACAGTGGGCTCTGGGCTTTGAGCAGCTCCGTTTAACCCCTCTCTCCCTGGTGCTCCCTCTCCATCTGTCATTGCCGAGCACCTCCAGCCCTCGTGCTCCACTTTATCCACCTCGCCATCCTTGGGCTGGGCTGGTTTTATGTGGAGCAGCTATTCACGGGAGGCTGTGCAGCGCTCACTGCTGGATCTCAGAGCCCTGGAGCGGGATCAATCCAGCCGGGACAAGAGGCATCTGTACAGACACAGCAAGCACAGGATCTCCCTCCTTAGGGCTCATTTTGGGGACAGAGTTTCCCCATCCCTGTCTCCAACACGAGGTGAGGATCTGTTTTTGACAGCGCTGTTGAAAGCCACGCTGCGAGCATTCCTCTGCAGCGGCAGGAAACAAACCCCAGATTCGCCGGAATTATTGGAGAAATCTCATCCAATGACACGGGATTTGGACACTGAGAGCAGAGGAGTTGGAAGCCAGCCAGAGCAGGGAAGAACCATCTAACTCCCAGCTGCAAAAGCTACACTTGAGCACAAAACCCCAAACCTCTGCTCCCCCAACCCACTGCAACAGCATCCGAGGAGAACCGCGGCAAGCACGAGGTGCTTTGCACAGGCAGAAAAACTCTGAGAATCCCCGAAAACTTGTTGGCTGACTGCACAAAAGACACAAAGTCCCCGCTTGAGGCTTCTTTCTTGGCCTGAAGGTTCAGGCAGATGGAAAGCAGCTGCCCTCAGCCTCTCTCCAGGCAGCGCATTAAAGCCTTTGCAGGATGCGATTTGCTCACTTTAGGTAACAGCTCCTCATCATTTCCCGCTCCGCGGAGCGAGGAGAACACACCCACCTTGTCGCCAGCTGTAGGCACACCTGGACCTTCGGTGGCACGGTGGCAAACCCTCCTTCACCCTCATCCTCCTCCCAGCCCTGCCTGCGGCATCTGCTCCCCCCAAGGCAGGAGCCCGACTTTCTAACCCGGCTCCAGAGGGTTAGGGGAGAAGCAGCAGTTGCTTTTGTAGACTGTCTGACCCAAATTCAGGGCACAATTCCTACTTTGAGGCACTTCCCCGAGAGTTTAAAAATAGCCTCAGGGCCACGGCCACTGACAATGTGGCCATTTAGCCGCGGCGGCTCTCCCGCAGGAACAGAGCCGCTGCACCCCTCGTTTGGCCGGCTGCCCTTGGCTAAACAGGAGCCCAAATCCACCGCCCAGCTAAGGCAAACACTGAACTTTCAGAAAGGGCAGATTGAAAAAATCAGCTGCAGCATCCGAGAGCCGGAGGAGCTGCCCCGCTCACGGCTCCGCAGCGAAGCCAGCGCGTCTGGCTGGGCTCGGCAGCCACAGCCTCCCAACAGATGGCTCATTATTCCTCGGGATGTGCTTCCCTCGCTCCCACTCGCCGGCAAAAGGATACCAGCACCTCTTCAGAATAAGGTCACTTTGGTTTAATCTTCTGTTTCACTCGCGGTGCTCAAGTCCCTTGCTCTGCTTCGGCTTGAGGTGAGGAGCGCTGAGCATCCCAAGGAAGGATAAAGGGACCAGAGAGGGACAGGGAGCAGGGTGTTCCCTGGCCAGATGAATTGAAAGCAGCTGAAAGATGCTCACGTTTCAGAAAGCTGCCACGGATTTCAGATGTCCATCCATCAATATCCTCACGCCCAGGTGCAGATAAACACTCGATGTGTGCTCCAGCCCAGCCTGTCCCAAGCGCCCTGCAGTGCCTCAGCCAGGGAGGCTGAAATCACATTGCCTTCGAGCTGGGGTTTGACATTATTCACAGAAAATTCTCAGCTGACAGTCAGCTGAGGAAGCCTCTGCTGCTGATTTCGAGGGTTCAAGAGGAGCACAACCTCCCTTTAAACACATCAGGCCCTTGACACTGGTGCCAGGTGAACATCTGGGAGCTATCAGAAACGACTGAGTCAGCAGAAAAGGACTCCTGAATATGCTGGAAAGCCTATCCAAAGTGGGGAGAAATAGGAGGCCTTCTTCTGGGGTCTGAGGGAGTTAAAGTGTAGCACTGGACTTAGGGAAAGATTATTTTTAGAAAGCTATTTCCCCAGCTAATGGATGGTGTCTGCTTTGCATGGAAAGCAGGAGAGCTGGTCACATCTGAAGCCTGGCAGAGGCACTGCTAAGGCCACATGCAGGCTGATCCTGCACTCATGTCCCCATGTCACCTTTTTCCTTAGGGACACTGAGCTTTGAGTGCCTCCCTGGTGAAGCACATGAGTGGGGCTCCTGCTCCTGGGTTATGGGTGACATTTGCAGCTAAAACATCCCAGGGCCTGTGGGGTAACACATGGCACCAGCTGACAAGGAGGGAAAATGCAAAGTTAGCTCAGGATGTCAGGAGAGCATTTAGAACAGCAAAGCAGAGGGGAATTAGCCTGGGATCTAGGATGAGTTAGCCTGGGATCAGCTTTTACCCTGGGTTAGCCTGGGATCAACTTTAACCTGTGCAAAGAAATCCAGGGATAAAGCCATGATGCACTAAACCCCAGGCCACCTCTTTCCCTGGGATGCACACACCCCAAGCTTTGCAGAATTGTGTTGGCTTCCAGAGACAAGGAGGATGACAAGTTCCTAGACACAGGACAACAGTGACCCACCACAGATTCAGCATCTTCAAGGCCATGGGTTAAAACCTCTGCATCTTCCATTTCAGTCCCACAGAACCCAAGTGGGTGAGTTTCTACCTCAAACCACATGGAGAACCACACGTGGTGATGCTGAAATTCCTTTCCTCCAGGACCTGAGAGCAGAGCTGCACAAACACAGGCAGCCTGGAGCACACAGATGTGCCCACAGCTCTGATGACTCCAACAGCATCCCCTGGATATTGTCTGTTTGCATAGAAATCCACTCCTGTACTCGCAAACTCCTCCCATTCATTCCAGATTAATGCTTGTTAATCTTGCATTCAATTCTGCGGGGCACACACGAGGGAAGCTCAGACAGTATTGTGTTATTTTATACCATCCAGGCAACTTTTTGAAGAAGTTACTAAAACTGTGCCTTCTTAAGAGTCATTTCTTGCACTCCCACCACCCCCAAAACCACATTTCAGCAGCCAGGACTGAACTTTACACTTACCTTGCTGAGTACTTCCAAGTCCCCAGGTAACTGCAGCTCCTCCAAGCCTGCTTGTGGAAAATAAATTAATGGATCTGAAATATTTAAACGAGGAGGATGCGGGGGGAAAGGATGGAATAAGCCTCAGGAGGTGCGAGATGTGCAAGGTCTCAGCTCAGCAACTCGGAGCGACTGCAGTCTGCCAGAGCTGCCCAGTGGTATTTATGGCTGCAGGCAGAGGGGAGAACCCGGGATCATCCCTGTGACAACGGGCGGGGAGCAAGAACGAGGAGAGGGAGGGGAAAAGGGGGAAAGCCAGAGGAGAGGGGCGTCGGCTGGGATGGCAGCAGCTCCCGGGCGGTCACTGGGGCTCAGAGGAGCAGGACCATCCTCCCGAAGGAGGGAGGGAGGGGGAGGAGGAGGAGGAGGAGGAGGAGGAGGAGGGCAGCGCTGATGCTATAAAAGCTGTGCTGTCCCCAGCAGTCGGCTCCGGGACTCGCAGCCGGGAATTCCAGGGGCACGGGGAATCCTCCCCGCACAGGGGCTCCGGTGACAAGGGAGGGGGAATTCCAGGAAGGAATTTTCTCTGGAAGGGACTGCAGCCAGCTGTGTGTCTCCCCACGGCTGCGGGCTCAGCCAGTCCTGCTCCTCCCAGGGAAATCCCAGCCAGCTCCAGCCCCTCCAGTAAACCCCATGGCATCCCCCCTTTTTTTTTTTTTTTCTTTTTTTTCTCTCCCAGAGCCAGGCTTTTGCTGGGAACAGATTAATCGCACTCTAGTTTGCTGCCAAAGCTCTCCCAGCACTGAATTCCTCCGGTGCTACAGGGAACGCAAAGAGCTGGTGAAACACGCAGGCAGGACTCACCTCTCTGCCGATGTCCCAACAGCTCCAGCTTTGGCATCCAGCTCCGTGGTTTTACTCACTGTGAAAGGAAACGATTGAGCAAAAGACAAGCTAAAAGTTCCTTCCTTTTTCTCGAAGTAAACAAACAGGGAAAACCCAAACCGCTGTCGCGAGTAACAACGCGAGTGTGTCACGGCACCTCTGCGCCGCTCCGGCAGCAGCATCCTCGGGATTCCCGTGGGATCCGCATCCTCGGGATTCCCGTGGATCAGCATCCTCGGCATTCCCGTGGGATCAGCATCCTCGGGATTTCCGTGGGATCCGCATCCTCGGCATTCCCATGGGATCCGCATCCTCGGCATTCCCGCGGGATCCGCATCCTCGGCATTCCCGTGGGATCCTCATCCTCGGGATTCCCGTGGGATCAGCATCCTCGGCATTCCCGTGGGATCCGCATCCTCGGGATTCCCGCGGGATCCGCATCCTCGGGATTCCCGTGGGATCCGCATCCTCGGCATTCCCGGGGATCCGCATCCCGCAGTCCCTGCGGGGTCACCGCATCCCCCGGGATGTCCCCTGGGAGGGGCACAGCCACACCCAGCTCCGAGCCAGGGGAGCACCCATCTCCTGGGAGGTGGCACGGCCAAGAAAAGCAGCTCTGGTTTTTCCAAAGCACTGCCTTGTCCTCTTCCCAAAGTTCTCGGGCAAAAAAAAAGTCCTTCCATTCTTCTAAGCAGTCAATATTTATTTCTTCCTTCAGGCAAAACACCAACCACTTTTATTTACTGTTTACTAGGAGGGAGTTTACAAGATATTCCCAGAGGTTTGTTTAAACCCAGCGGCGCTCAGAAAGCAGAGGGACATTTATCAAACTCGTTCAACAGAGCAGGAGCAGAGGGGCAAATATTGGCAGCTGGGAGAGCACCACTGCTCTGAGCAAAGAAAGAACTCTCTGAAGTCAGCATGGAGGCTGATTCCATCTCTGACTCCATTTTCCTGAGAATTTTTCAAGAAGGAACAGATTGTCCTCACTGGGGCTGGATCTTGCAGCCCATTTCAAGCTGAGAAGGGCAGGCAGTGCTCAGCAGTCAGTCCCAGCCCCACAGCCTGGCACAGCCCCACCAACCCCTCTGGCTGCTCTTCCCACACTCTCCCAGCTGTATTTACAAAGAGTTTCTATTTGCTTCCAAACAAACCGGGTATGGGAACCAACAACACGTGGTGCAGCAGCTGGACCTGGCACTTCTGCCCTGCCAGGAGATGTTCAGTGCAGTTTGGGCAGTTTGCTCCCAAAAAAAGCTCAGGCTTTGACACCAACACAGGCAACTCAAAGACCACCCACAACTGGGCTGACAGGAGGTTCTGCACTACTTTACTGTAAAATCACTGTATCCTCTAATTTTTTTTTTCCCCTTGCTCTTTTGATTTCCTCTGGATCAATGACTTTGCTGTAGGCTTATTTAATTAGCTGAAAGATGATGTAGCCCCCCCAGTTCTAATTTTCCCAAAAGACAGTGAATTTCACCCCAACACAGTGAACCCTGGTGCCCCCACACAGGCTGCCACCCCGAAACCACGCAGCTCCCCGGCCCTGACTCACAGCCCTCAGAAGGTGCTGCTCACTCCATTACCATAAAGCTGAATTAACTCATTTTAAATCTCACATACCAACGTACAAATAATTTCCAGACCTCAGAGGAATTTGGTATTTTGTAATCTCCGCAAATATCCCTATGGGAAATGAATCCCTGTAGGATGGTTTGGGCTGTCTCATTGCTCCATCAACCTGGCTGCTTTACAAAGATTTGATTTTTTAATTTATTTTTTTAATGTACACCAGGATGGTTTCACTGTACAAGACATACACAGGGCCTGGTTGTGCTCAGGGATGAGCACAGCCTGGAACAAGAATTTTTACCCACCTCATTTTGTCTTGAGTCAGCAGCTTGGGGTCATATGTTCCACCAAAGCCAAAACAATCAGAAGTTACTTTTAATCATTCCTCGTTATTACTGCCTTGATTATAACGTCTCCATTTCATATGTGGTAAAAGCCACATAAAGCAGGCTGCATATATAAGTATATATTAGCAGAGAGGCTTTTAATGGAGTAGCCAATGAATGGGAAGAGACACAGATTTCCCTATGCCCTCCTAATTGAGCAGGCAGACAGTGAGTCTTGATCTCCCCTGGAATTAATGCTCCTTTATTTCCTACTCAAACAGAGCTCATAGGAATGGCCCCAAAGCAGGGCAGGGTGAGGGGCACAGAGCTGCAGGGGATCCCCTGGCTGGGCTCCTGCTCTGGAGCACACGGGGATGAACAGGGTGAGGAGCAGCCAGAGGCAGCAGGGATCTGCAGGAGTATTGTAAATGCAGGCAAACTCAATGGGAAGAAATGATGATGATTGATTTAATTCAGAAGGCTGAATTATTTCTTTATTATAACTATGCTAAAATACATTAATACACTATATAAAAGGAGGATATTAAAACTACATACTACTTTTTCTGAATCTTAACTCCCTTGGCAACTCGTGACCCTCTCTCTAGAGTCCAGATACAGGTGGGTTGGATTGGATTGAGTTGGATTGGATTGGATTGGCCATCAACTCAAACAATCCTCACCAGAATACAACCAAGCAATCACCCCAGGTAAAGAATTCTCCAAACATTTTCTACATAAGAAAAACAAAGAGCAGATATAGAAATTGTTTTCTCTTTCATTTCTCTCTGTGCACCTCTATGAAAAATCCTAAGAGAGAAATGTGCTCACCACACAGGAGCTTCTCAGCGACCAGCAGCAGGGAGAGCCCAGGGGGAACAGTGCCCTCTGAGCTGGCACCAGGCACAGCCAGGTCCGGGTTTGGGGGAGCCATCCCCTCCTGCCTGGGCTGTTTCACCCGAGGGAGCCAAGCCCTGCCACATCCACCACCCCAGCAGGCTGGAGATGCCCCTCTCTCGACCACGCTGCAATCCAGAGGCTACTCCAGAGGATGAATTAACAGTGTGGGGATCCAAATCACAGGAGGGAAAGGCAGGCATTGATGGATTTATTCCCAAACACAATTATTACTTGGCACTGTGAGCCCGTTTGTTTTTCCTGCTGCTCTCCTGTTTTGGGATAGCCTGGACTGACCACCCAGGTCCAGCTGCAGCTTCTCCACCTTCTCCTACTCAAGGACATTCCCCCAAATGCTTCAGCAGCTGATGATGAGCAGGAAAACAACTCCCCATAAATCTGTCCTGTTTCACTGGTGCCCAGGAAAATGTTGACGTAAAACAATGAAATAAGAACACGAGCTGCAGCAATTTCAGAAAATTTAGGGGGCACCACTGACTGCACTAAGCACAAGTCAAATGTGAACTGGAATGTACAAAATCCCTTCTCTATGAAGGTGGTGAGGCACAGGCAGTGCTGTGCCCCGTCCCTGGAGGGGTTTAAGGCAAGGTTGGACAGGGCTTGGAGCACACTGGCCTGCTGGAAGGTGTCCCTGCCCACAGCAGGGGCTGGGACAAGATTTTTAAAGTCCCTTCCAATGAAAATCAGTTTGGGATTCCATGAAAACCCCTTACCTTGTTCCCACAGCTCCCCATATTCCCTTGTGACACCTGCAGACTGGAACAGCTCAGGACCCTTAACCCAGCACCCACCTTTGGAGATTTCACCCCAGACCAGAAGGTGAAGTGCTGTCACAAGCTCTGCAGCCACCACATCTGGTTACTCACCAATAGGAATGATTTCCAAAAAATCCTCTGGGTCATTAAGACAGCCTGAAATAAACCCCCATTCATTGCACAAATCTCCACCGTGTCGGGAACATCCCCTGCACGTCCAAGGCTCCCTCCTCATTCCTAGTGAAAAGCAGCAGATTTGGAACACGTTTAGAGAGAAACCCTCTGCTGGCAGCTCAGGATCCATCCTGGCAGCAGCCTTGGAGCTGGACCCCCGGACCCAGCCCAGCCCTCAGGGACATCATCTCCAGAGGAATTGTGAAAACAGCAATTTCCTACTCACAACACCTTCCCCCAGCCCCAAACACCTTCTCATGGCTTTAATACCCCTCCTCCCCCAGCCCTTCCCCTGCACATCTGGCTCACGGCACAAGGATTTCCCCACAGCCCTTTGGACCTGCACATCCAGTTTCTCATTTTGAAAACTTCAGGTCTTATTGAGAAAAAAACCCCAAACATTTCTCAAAATCTGGTTTCAACTTCAGTAAACAACCACCGAATTTAGTATATCATCGAGGGTGTTGGTTTTTTGGTTTTTTTTTACATAATTACACCCACAGTAAATGATCAAAAGCTGCAAGACCTTGTTTTGCAACAATGGGAGGAGTTAATACAGAAAATACAAACTGGCTGTGTGTCCACATCACTGTTGCCACATACTTTTATTTCCCTTTTAATACACTGCAGAAGGACTTTAGTGACAAATACATTTGTAATATCCTCAGTAAAAAATGCAAAAATTCTCTTTTAAGTGATACTGAGACAATTTCAAGTCATACTGAGAGAATTTCAACACTTGATTTTTAAACTGGCAATGACTCATTGCCATTTCTTGAAATGGTAACATATATAACCTCTATTAAGTAATATATTAATTACTGATCACCTGCACTTTTCTCTGCTCTATTCAGGTTAACCTGCACTATCAGAAATGCACTTTTTCACAATGCACTGGAGATGGAGCTAAATAAATACCCAACACAGGGACAGGATTAATTAAAAACAGGATTTCTGCTGTACAGAAAACCACTTCAACCAGGATGTGAATACTAACCAGCACAGAACAGTAAGTTCAAAATCTGGTTTCTTTTTTCTTGGAACAACCTCAAGATTTCAGGTTCTCACCAGTGCAGTTCCCATCACAGGGATGATCTGGGAGCACCAATCCTCCAGCAGCTGCAGCTCCAGGAGCTGAGGTTTTCCCTGCAAACAGCCAAAATCCAAGCGAGCTTTGCACAGAAAATTGTTTTGGAACTGGGGGAATGTCACCAAAATCATGAACAGTCACCATCTGTAAATCAGAAAATCCTAATAAAGCATGAGCAGCAAAAACATAACAATACATTTGGACATCCAAAACAACGCCAGAGCATCATTAAACTTATTGAGCAGAGCAGGAGCCCCCCAAAGAGCCATGGGCAGGAAAATTCCTTCCTGTGAGACAGCAGGAGAGTCAGGACAAGCCAGGGAGCTTCCACCATCCCATGATGAAATAAAGACATAACACCACTATCACCAAATAATTAAATAATGTATAGGAGTTTTTTAGAGAAAGCAACAGGAAGCTGATCAAGGAAATATTTTTACCAAAAGTTCTCCATGGCAATGTCAGTTGGCTAAAGAAGAGACAAACAAAA